GCTACCATTTAGTAGGGCGGAAAAGTGTTCCCTCCATAATTTAAGTATGCTCTGGACATAAGTTACTTGGTCGCCATTATTGTTCTTACAGGAGTGCGCCCCGGTCTTTAAACCTTCCGTAAGTCGCCTAACCCTCTGGCAAAATTTTCGGGCAAGCCTCCCGTCGGCCAGCATTTCAAGCTCTTCGCACTCACGTATGTATTTCGGCTTCTCTCTTCTTGTTGCGGCAAATACGTCTCGCTTCCCTCTTCAGATCCCTATAGCGGTCCCACATAGCGCGCGTTGCGCCCGATCGCAGCGTGGCCCTGTAGGCGGCATATTTTTTCTCTGCAGCTTCCTGACACTCCTCATCATACCAGTTGTTCTTTCGGGCTCGCTGAAATCCGACTAATTCTTCGGCGGCGGTACTTAATGAGCGGGAAATGTGGTTCCACTGCTCGCATATGTCGGTTTGTTGAAGAGTGCTCTCTGAGAGTAGGTGTGAGAGTCCAGTAGCGAAAGCACTGTTGTGATTGCAGCTTTTCGACGTTAAGCTTTCCTTGCATATTTGGGCGCACATTTTTTGCTGCACAGAGGCGGGTGCGTATCTTGGCTGCAACAAGATGGTGGTCCGAGTCGATGTTTGGGCCTCGGAGTGTGCGTACGTCTAAAACACTGGAAGCGTGCCTTCCGTCTATCACCACATGATCGATTTGGTTTCTCGTTTTTCGATCCGGAGACAGCCGCGTATCTTGATGGATCTTTTTATGCTTGAACCTAGTACTGCATACTACCATGTTTCGGGCCCCGGCGAAGTCGATCAACCTCAATCCGTTGTCGGACGTTTCGTCGTGGAGGCTGAATTTTCCGACGGTGGTTCCAAAGATCCCTTCCGATTTTGATATCATGACGGGGGCAGCGCTCGTACGTGCGCTCCAAGCGCTCATAGAAGAGATCCTTGGATGCCTCATCCTTCTCTTCCGTCGGGGCATGGACGCAGATGAGCGAGATGTTGCAGAAGCTCGCTTTGATGCGGATTGTGGCTAGACGCCCGTCCACCGGGGTGAACGACAGTACTCGGCGACGGAGTCTCTCTCCCACCACAAATCCAACACTGAATTTGCGCTCCTTTACATGGCAGCTGTAGTAGATGTCGCAAGGCCCCAGACATTGTTTGCCTTGCCCCGTCCAACGCATTTCTTGGATGGCGGTGATGACAGCTTTTGTCCTTACGAGGACATCAACCAGCCGGGCAGAGGCACCTTCCCCATTAAGGGTCCGGACATTCCAGGTGCATGCCCTCAAATCGTAGTCCTTTAAACGTTTGCCGTGGTCGTCATCATAAGGGGGGGTCTCATCCGAGGCTTTGCCTTGCTTCTTCACTGGAAGTGGCTTTTACGTGGCTGGTCCCAAGCCTAGTGCACAACCCATTGCTGGGACGGGGGTGGTTTCGCAACCAAATACACGTTTATATAGCGAGCCGCTTGCTCCAAGCAGACACCCGCTTGCAGCCGCACCTACTGGTGAACAGACGCTGCAGACTTCAGTGAGCCCTTAAACCGAATAAGTCAGAGTAGCCCCACCGAAGCTCCCTCTCTTTCTGCCGTGACCCAAGGCTCCACTCGGATTGGTTACCGCATCTCGCACATGGGTTGCTCACGTTGCCCAGAGTGCGCGAACGAGGACGCAAGAGTCGGGATTGAGTATAGCCATGCAACTGTAACTGCATACCCAGCGCAACGACTATACCCCAGTGCATACACGAGGTGTATGTATAATGGAAAAATCCATTTGGTTAAGACTTTTCACTTGATTTAAATACGAACATTTTTAAACGGTAATTAATGTTTAAGTCAATACCTCAATCTCTAGGTGTTGTAATAATAATAAAGTCCGGCGCTTACGCAGTATGTTAGTGTTTGGCCGAACTTCTCCTCCGATTTGTCGCGCGGGCCTTAATGTTGTGGCACAAAGGTGGTGCCACAGTTTTATGTCAACTCTGAACGGCGATTGTATTTTATGGCAAGCTGTTTTTCATTTTCAAGGGTTGCGCACTTCTAACCACTACATCCCAGCGGCCTATATGCAAAACCTATATTCAGATATATTTTTGGGATTTGGGTATCGATATTTGGAATATCGAGTCTTTTTTTCCGATATTAATGGGTACCCGATATTTTTAAAGCGATACTTTAAATGAGTACCATATCGATACTTTCGGCAAAGAGTTGTTGGATATATTAAAAACATTTTCCACCCCAGTTATAATTCTAGGTGATTTCAATGCTTGGAGCCCAATGTGGGGCTCCTCCTGGGCCAATAGAAGATGACAAATTATAGAAGATTTGGTTATGACCCAAAACCTTATTGTCTTGAATGGTGGTCTACCCACTCACTTTTCTACCCACAAAAACCTTGACCCATCCTGATATCATTCCTGCTTCCGCCTCCATCGCCCCAAAACTTTCCTCCCGCACATTAGATGACCTTCACAATAGGGCCATTTCACTCTCATAACGTCCCTATCCATTCCCAGCTGGTATTAAGTCAAGCCCCGGTCGAAATTTCTAACTAAAAATGCCGATTGGAAACGATTTTGTACCCTCGCGATTTCCGTGGAAAGCAGTCATCCTGTCTCTACAAACATCAACTCTGAAGCTTCAAAAATAAAAACAATAATCCGTTCTTCAGCTCACATGACAATACCGCAAACAAACACCAAAAGATTTTCCGCCAAATTACCATACTGGTCCAACTCGTTAACATCATTAAGAAGCAACAATCAATATGGGCCAAATACAAACATAACATTTTTATTTATTTTATTTTATTTATTATTATTAATTTGGGTAGCTGGCGAGGCCTTGTCTCCAGTCTACTTTTGTGTGCGGCGGGCGGAAAGACCTAGTTTCCGCTCCGCGCTGTTTAAAGGCCGTTAATCATGGTCGGAAAGGCCGAGTTTCCGATCCATGTTCCCGTAGACATTACTTTGTATGTCAGGCAGGCGGAAAGTCCTAGTTTCCGCTCCGCGCTATAGACGAACTGTTGGGCGTGGTCGGAAAGGCCGAGTTTCCGATCCCTGCTCGTATTGTCCTACGCGGTCGCGAAAATATACGAAGCCGTTACAATTGTACTAAGCAGTCATATTTTCATTGTGTAATTTTTTCGTTCACGGTTACAGATATTAGTTTATTTAGTTAACTTGTTGAGCAAAGTTTTGTTTATTACAAAAAGCCATTCAGGTGTGTCGAAGCAATCATAATGCTTGTTAAAATCTTGGCATAAACACCGAAAAGCATGATGCATTTCAAAATTTGATTTACAAATACTCAACACAATAGGTTTAAATGTCTCGTGGGTCTTGTAGGAATACAAAAATGTATCTCACTCAGTAAAAAGGGACTACAGACCATCCCGTTCATTAATTTTATTAAAAAAACGACACCAAACATCTCTCTACGACTCTGAAGCGTCGTCAAATCTAGAAGCTTCAGGCGATCCTTGTAGGTTGGGAGATTTTTAGACGAGTCCCAACATAAATTTTTTAGGGCAAATAACAGGAACTGTTTCTGCACTGATTCGAGCCTGTCACTATGAATTTGATAACTAGGATTCCATACTATAGATGCATATTCCAAAATCTGTCTAACTAGAGAGGTAAAGAGAACTTTAGTGACATAAGGATCGTTGAACTCCTTGGCCCAGCGCTTAAGAAAAGCCAACAATCCTCTAGCCCTAATCACGCAGGAATTTATGTGAGACTTGAATTCTAGTTTCGGTCCATAGTTACACCTAGGTCAATGAAATTGGTCACTTGCTCAACATTGTGGTCAGATATCATATACGAATTTGGGTAGAACGATTTTCTAGAGAAGGTCATGACTTTACACTTTTTCAAATTGAGTGACATGGAATTTGCTTCACACCACTCGAAAATGCAGGTTAGGTCAGCTTGCAAATGCTTCCTATCTTCTGCAGTACTAATGTGATTAAAGAGCTTAGCATCATCAGCGTACATTAAGCATTTCGAGTAATTCAACACATTAGGAAGGTCATTTATAAATAAAATAAACAAGACGGGACCAAGATGGCTGCCCTGAGGTACGCCGGACGTGAAATGTATTGGCCGGGAGGTACAATTTTTAAAAATTACTCTTTGTTTCCTATCCTATTCGATCAAGTTTATATATAAGGGTTGAATGAGATACTTTATCAAATGCCTTGCTGAAATCAGTGTAAATCACGTCCGTTCGAAGATTGTTTCTAAACCCATTAGACACATAAGTAGTATTTACGCGCCGGCGTTTTTCGATTTTTAAGGCGCTCGCACGTAAAGAAAATAAATGAAAAAAACAACAGCGTATTAGTGTTTAATGCTTAACAATAATAATAAATGTTTGCTTTATTTGTTGAGAAAAATGTTTGATAAAACAGTGTGAATTGAAACAGAGATTTTGCTAATAGCTTGATGAGATTACCTTGCTGACGTGGTGTGGTGGCTGGCAGTCGCTATGCTG